TTTTTTGCCAGCTGCGTCAACTTTACTCGACCCGAGGTTCAGAAAAATTAATTTCAAAGATCTTTTAACAGTAATAAAGTTCTTGCGAACTTAAAGCATAAACAGACGGCAGCGTTGATCCGGATCAACTCGTTAATTCGGAATTATCTCGGGAATTAACTGCAGTTGATCCGGATTAAATCCTAGAGTTAATTCCCAAACTTAACTCGGATCAAGGGAATTTGCGATGACAACTCTGACCAAAACTCAGAGAGAATACAGAGAAAATGCAAAATTAGCATGGCATTAGCATATACTTTTTCATCGGTAATGAAGTCACCATACTAATTCGAATAGGAATCAAATTTAAAATGAATAAGAACTTATTTAATTTGATTTATATATTTAGTTGTTTTTTATTTCATTTTCGTTTGTTTTATTTTATTTCACATTTTTATTTTATTATTAGTTAATTTAAGTTTTTAGAGTTTAATTTTACTAAAAAAGTCAAAAACAACTAACTAAAAAGAACTTTAAAATAAAAAACATAGAAGTTATAATGGAATCAATAAAAAAAAATTAAATGAATATTCTACTGGCCATGGGATTCGAACCTACGACCTCGCGGCTCGTTAATCCGCATTACTGCCGTCTGTCAAAGCTCAATTTTGATCAGATCAATTGCGGCGTTAATCCGGATCAACGTTGCCATCTGACTATGCTTTTAAACAATATAATATATAATACCTATGAACCTGGGGGATCGCGTAATATTTTCAATGGCCTGTGCTCAGGCCTTCCGGACTAAAATTCATAAGTCGTGAGATTCATTTAGGGGGAGTTATAGGTTTCTAGATTGCGTTGTCCCTTTCTTATCCTCCATTCGGTGGCAGCTTGAAAATCCTTCTACTAGCCTAGTAGCTGTTCTGTGTTGGCTCCGTTCCCACGTTTTGCTTGAACGCCAACTCATTCGTTGCCATCAAAACCCTCATGACCCGGTACCAAGGGCACCCTGAAATTGTGCATATGGAAACTGTGCATACGAAATAATGCATATGAAAAAAATCTAAATATTGCATACGAAAAAACCGAAATAATGCATATATGCACAGTTTCGGTTGATAACCGCAATAATGCGTATGAGAAAAACCGAAATTATGCATATGCACACTTTCGTTTGAAAACCGAAATAATGCATATGTGAAAAACGAAGTAATGCATACATGCACAGTTTCGGTTTAAAACCGAAATAATGCATATGTGAAAAACGAAGTAATGCATACATGCACAGTTTCGGTTGAAAACCAAAGTAATGCATATGGAAAAACGAAGTAATGCATACATGCACAGTTTCGGTTGAAAACCGAAATAATGCATATGTGAAAAACGAAGTAAATCTGACAACGCGTAAATCTTTCAGAATAAACGTTTTAATTTTACTAGTCTCATTTCGAGGGCATATTTTCGGGCACTAGGCCCATTCTAACTGCCCATGACAGATAAGTAATTAAGGGAATGTTCCCCAATAATACCAGAGTAATTATATTTAAAAACCACATTTTAAGCTGCATTTTAACATGTCAAGGAAATAAAACAAATTGACAACATCAGCGTTTTTATAAAAAAAAACGACCAGCGCGGCCTCTAAGAAAACTTTTTTTTTCAAAATAAAAAAACACGTTTCTCTTTTTTTTATCACAAATGACAATAATTTGAGGTAGCGTTTATGAATCTCCAAAAAAAAATTTTTTTTTAATCTCTCTAATGCACAGTTTCGGTTGAAAACCGAAGTAATGCATATGGAAAAAACGAAGTAATGCATACATTCACAGTTTCGGTTAAAAACCAAAATATTGCATATGTGAAAAACGAAGTAATGTATACACTAGACCGTTCGTTAAAAATAAAATTTGGTTTGCCGGGTGGAAAAAGATGTGTTTTGGTCTAAAAATAAGCTGTGCAAAATTTTATTCGAATATGATAACTCCAAGTACTTGCGCGTTGCATTTGAAAATTTAGAAAACCATATGCATTCTGGGAACCAATTTTTTAACAAAATAGTTGAAAGTCGTGAATTTTATAGTCATTTGCCATGTAAAATAACCTACACAATCTGAATATGAGGTCAAAAATTAAAAAGGTAGAATACGTTTTAAAAATTTGCGAAATTATCGTCTTTTTCAAATTGAGATAACAGCATTTTCAATTTTTTCCAAAAATATCCGGTTGTGATTATCACACCACAAAAAGATCTCCACCAGATTAAAGGTCTTTGAAATCCCTACGAACCTGCTATACAATGTTTTGCAATCAAATTATCAGTTTAAGAGTTATCTGCCAATTTATTAGTGAAATCGGACACAATTTTAAGTCGCATCGTTATTCTACTGTGAATTACACCTAAAAGCTGCAAACTTGTTGTTCTTATTTTTATGCTATGTATGTAAAGCTTATTTAATTTCAAAGTATATAGATCCAAATTTTTTGCAAATCGATTTGAAAATAGAAAAGTTATAGCAAATTTAGTAAATGACATTGGATTCAAGCAACGTATCGATACTGTACAGCACATTTGATTGTAAAATAAATTAAAATATCATTTCCAGAGGCATGTTATGCACATCGCAATTAGAAAAACAACTGGCAATAGGTTTGTTTCATTAAGCAATAGTTTTAAATATTTTTTAAAAATTGTTACAAATTATCATGCTTTGGCTAGCAAAAAAGTTGATAAAATAAGATAAATTGAGATAGCAAAATAACATTTGATTTTTAGATAAGGTTTGGAAGTTTCTGCGGGATACATTTATACTTGTAAAACTGAAACAATGGTACTTATTGAATGTACTATGTATTTATATTATGATCCTTATTTTCAAGTAATACTACGCTCAAAATAATGTCTAATAACCGCTGGAAAAGCTCATCTGGTCAACCTAGTGCCCAGTAGCCAAATTCAATAAAATGTGGCCAAATTTGATAAGAAAAGAATATTTCAGAGAAAGCTTGTAAAAAATGAAACTATATTTCATGATTTTTTAATAAACAAGTGCCGATTTATTGTGTAATGTATATTTTTTTTGATATGCTTCCTCAACACCAAAAGCTTCAGCTGCTGCAACCAAAATATGTACTGCCTTCCCGGAGGATACTTTGGCATCGTCCAGTAACCAAAA